ATGGTTAGTAATAACATTATTTTAGAAATGAACAGAACTAATCCTATGTCAAACAGTCCTACATCAGTAGCATATAGTGGTAGTGAAACGCCGTTCTTGCTGACCCCACACATACACTTATCAAGAATGCAGTGGGCGAATTTTAAATTCAAGCTGCAAAGCGCCAGGCTAGCCGGTGCAATCTTGCGTTTTTGCACAATTTCCTGCAGATGTTTAATGCTGTGCTGAAACGAATTGTGCTCGCGTTGGCTTTACTGAATGCCTTTTGTGCTGATACCCGTATACACACGAAAGCAGTGAAGTGTTCCATTGGTGAAATATAGTCGTACACAGACACTTGCTTTATGCTCCTGCGATCATTCATAATCAGAGAATATTCACTTAGAAATGTAACTTACCATTCCGTCTCAGGCAGGGAGATACGAAGATGCCAGCAGTTTGGAGCCCGAATTTTGCTGCATCGATGCGTGGAACGTAGACTTTAGTGGAGGGTGATATCGTGCTCTTGGTGCCGTGTGGGATATGCTTACTTTATCGAAAAATTATGTCTTCCCAGCCTGACTAATTAGAGAGAGAGTGTGAGACAACAGAGATGACGATAGTATAGCAAACTGAACACGTGTGTGTGCAGAAAATATACGTAGCCGGAAACTCGTCTCAAAGTTACAGGCCGACAGGTGAACAGCAAACATACTCAGCTAAATACTGCTTCCTACTCGGTCCGGCTACCAAGTTATTTGGATGTCAACGGTGCTTGAAACTAACAATTCATTTGCGGCAAAAGCGAGAACTGGGTATATTACAGGGCTTAAACTGTAGTATTTTCGTCGTATATGGGCATAGAATATCCTCGTATAATCTCAGTTTCCTAGCACGTCTGGTTGGCGAAATTGCTTTTCGTTAATTAAAATATTTGGCGTCTCGGGACTAGCGACCCAGGCGTATGACAAAGCTCATTTTAAGTCAGCTTGTACAACTATGGGAAATAAATACTCTCCTAAAGTTTGAACTCTGTAGTTAACTTAGTTCCAGAACTGGTAGTTTGTCAACTATAATTTTGCCGTGTCCGTACACGAAATGTATATGTCTGTTAAAACTGAATTCGAAACATTTAGCTCATACATGCACAGAGAATATCCCTGCTAAGTTTCAGCTCTTTATTTTGTCTAGCTCCCAGGATCGATTCCCCGCCAAGTTTGCACATTTTTTAAAGACATTCATACACACCACACAGGCTTACGCAGTTGACGATATTAAGACGGAAGAGTCGCACAGGTGGTGGGCTAATAATCCCAAATTTTCAGCCTTCTGGCTTTTCTGGATCTTGAGTTGAAAGTGGGTGACAAAAAGTGCGAACACACAGGCACAAACACATACACACACAGACAGGGTCTTCACAGTATGCGTTTTTGCAATTTGTATATATGCAAAACGCATAAAAATCTGGCTCCTACATGGTCATTAAGCTTGATGAGTTATGTCAACAGTCGCTGATGACAGATTTCCTTTTTCACAGTTGTGCATTATGTTAATCTTGAAAAACTGTGATTTAAATGAACCCTATTCTGACAAGAACCAAGAGGTCCGAACTACGCTTTTGGATGAGACTTCCCGATTTCAGCCTCCTAGCTTTTTTAATTCGGCAGATATATTCATATATTCACCTGCAGAATTATAAAAGAATTATATGTGTGCACATATTCATTTATTAAACTATATATTATGACTTGTTTCACACATAGATCTAGCTGCACATGAACTGTTTGAGGTCTGACGCTAGTTATTGGGTTTGTATTTAAAGAGCAATTAATAATTTATACCTCAAGGCGTGGAGGATCGGCGATCACTGGAAACCTCACCGTCGATTTTGGATTGCAGCTGTGGGGCTGACAGATTGAGTGAATCGATCGCTGATGCAAAACTTTACGAATATCGAGGAAAAACAATTGCCGGTTTTGAGCTGCATGGTGTCGAAATGATGTGCTTACCTCAGGTAACATACACACTAACGAGCAAATATTACAAAAATTTTCAAAATATTGACAAGCAATCTTTTTTTACATTGTCATTACAGGCTTTTGAAACGTTTCTCAAGGATTTGCTCGGAGGCCTGCATACTGTGTACACCAAACTGAAACGCCTTCAGATTCAGCCTGTTGTATGCAACGTTGAGCAGGTGAAATTTTTTCCCGAGTAGCTTGTGTGACCTTCCCTCTTTGGTACTATTTGTCGGAAAACTTCGGCTCCCACCTGTTTTTCCACAGTGAAAATTCATGGTCATATCTACACATGTGTGTGTGTGTGTCAAAAAAAGAGTAAGTCAAAAAACGGAAATGAAAAACAATCGTGGCGAGGTTAAAACGTACTGCTGTACGCCCTGCAGCTTTAGTGAGTTGTATCAGTTCATACAAGCAATCTTCAAAACAAGCCGATCCTACGTTCTGTGCTCTGATTACTTCCAGCCTCTCCTCCTCCACCCCTTCCCTCATGCAATTTCTAGTGAAACTGCAGTCTGAGGATTATGGGCATTTTAGAAAATAGTTTTTCAGGTTCGAGCGCTACGAAGTTTGGGTGCAATTCAACAGGGTGTTAATCGTTGCAAACTGATTTCACGTAACGACTTCGATCGTCTGTATGATGACTGCTGCAACATTTAGTAGGCCATGAATAAATTAATGCCGCAATCAACGCAATTAAATTTCTGTTCAAAAAACTAAGGGAAAAATTATACTGACGAGGAATTGGTCTCTGAGTGTTTCTAGCCATTGTGGAGCCAGGATTTTTGAGGTCGTCTTTTTTCAGAATACATAAATTTATTTCTGTGAAAAAAAATCCAGTTTTTTTCTTGCTTATAGTCATGCGGAATATAGGTAATGCTCACTATTTCAATTTCTTACTTATTTTTCAGTCAATTTTCATTTTTGGTGGAATTTTTTTGGAAATGATATAAAATAAAATAACTATTATTAGGGTTATTTTTAAAGAAGAGTTAATTGGCCCTTATTTTTTTGATTTATTGTAGAAATAGTAAAGCAAGATAACTAAATGTCTGATTGCAGTCCTCGACCAGGCCGCCCAGCAAAGCGGTCTATGGAGATGAACTGGGAGAGCGCGCCAAGAGACAAGGCTAAAAAAAGAGACTTCAGCACAGGTTTTCAGTAAATTCTCTAAGAATTTAAACATTATGTCCGAATGGTTAATAATTAATCTTTACATTTGTTAATGCCAGTAACTTTCTTTCAATAAAAACAGAGCTAACATAATTTTGCGATTTTCAAATATGCAAGGGTTTAACCGAGCTTAGGAGCACAGTGAAAGCCAGATAACTTCAAAGGCACCGTAGGCTGCCACATGTCAATGATGCTATGGAAGTAAGTTTGGTGGCAAACATGACTGATGATAGAGTCGTGCAGTGGGCATTCGCATTCGTGCATTTTTGCAGTTGGTTGTTTGTTGTGTACAGTAAAAATTTTTATGGGATGAGTGTTTGCGTGTGTGGATCGCTGTGTGGCGTGGTGCAAATTAGATAAATGATAAGTTTTATGGCTTACTTATTACGACGCAGATAACAGCAATAATACACGAATCGTGACGCTTGGGCTTTGACGAACGGGACGGCCTACTCACCAGTGAATTTAGCAAAGGGGGTTCCGAGGTCGAATAGTTCTGGCTTCGAGGCGAAGGTGTCCGAATCCCAGTAGTGTTCGAAAATTGCGACGGCAGGGGTCGTAGCTGACGAGCCGGGATAATGTCGGTCGAGGAGACTGAGCCACGAAAAATGGTAGGGAGGTTTATAAAGGGTGTAAGAATCGCCCCAACAGAGGATGTGATAGTTTTTTTTTTGGAGGAGTTGTAAATGTAAAAATGGTAATCAGGGTAAACGGAAATGTGAAAAGGGAAAATGGAAATAAGAGTTTTTAAGGGAGTTGAAAAAGATTAAAACGGAAAATAATAAAAGTGGGACGTCTATGAATGCAGGTACATTCCCAAAAATGACTAAAACGGGGTAAAAGACGAATATTTAATGTGGTATTTTTTTTTCATTTACAGCTGCCATATATTTACAGTACGTATAAGCCAATGCTTGACTGAGACGTCTGTTTCGACTACTGGAAATTTTTTCGCAGGATTTGTTAATTAAATTTGTCGAAAATTCAAACTTTTTTGAATTGTGAAGGCCCACTCCAAGAATCTAGACTCGCAGTCGTACTTTAACAGTACTAGTCTCCTGGACATGACGTTTTGAAGCTGGATAATCACTAAGCACAAAAGTAACATCCATACACACATACATACATACACATATACATACATACATACATACATACATACATACATACATACATACATACA